CTCCACCATGTAATACAAGAAGGCGAATGCCAAATCCTGAATGAAAAACTAAACACTTGGAAATATATTGCTCTCTTTACTACGAAAATTACAACTACAAATCTTGTTCTTTATCGATTGGTTTCTTATACAATCGTATTACATTTTCTTGCTGGTAGCCCGAACGGAAACGTCTCGTGCCTTTTAGCCACTCCCACGCCCCTCTCCTGGAGCCATTTTGACTGTTGATAGGCATTAGCGTATTGGATCAAACTTGCGTGTGCACGAGTGGACCCGGCATCTGTTGACAACATTTTCTGGGGTCAACACTCTTCATTTTCTCTCTAGTTTTGAATCATTTTGTAGTCTTAAAATGTTCGCTTATACATCATTTATATAGTGGTAGTTTGGATTATTTTTTTTCCTTTTTTTTTTTTTTTTTTGCATCTGATGGTCATGTGTAACTTACTATAACATTCTCGTCAGTGCAAGTGCTGATGTGCCCTCGAACTGCTGGGAAAGGTGGTTGGCTCAAAAAGGAGGTTGGTTTCTTATAATCTTCTCAAAGGGATTGTCCAGACACTAGTAGTACATGTTCGGTACAACTTAAAATCCAATTAAAATTGAAAATATGGCCGTTATTGAGTCTCATTCATCTAATAAAAGTCAACAATAACGACTAGTTGCCTTAGATATTATAACAAATTAAATTTTAGCTTCTTTTTCTTTCTTAATGCTATCTAATCTTGATTTTTCGTTCTGTCTACAGGAAACTAGTACAATCTACACTCATTATCAGAAGAGTGTGATAGTCAATGCAGATGCTGGTAATTACAGGAGAAAGATCATAGCATTTGTTGGAGGCCTCGATTTATGCAAGGGAAGATATGTTGCACCAAAACATCAAATTTTCAGCACATTACAAACTGTTCACAAGGATGACTATCATAATCATAATTTTATAGTAATTTTCTACAAAACTTTATGATATTTATCTTGCCTATGATCTGTTTACTTTTATCTTCTACTAGTTTTTGCTTATTCGTGTATGTTTTAACTGAAAAGGAGCTTGCTGTTGATTGTCCAAGAGAGCCATAGCACGATTTACACTATCAAATCGTTGGTCCAGCTGCATATGATGTCTTAACTAATTTTGAGGAGCGTT